ATTTTGCATTTCACTATCTTCTTCAAGAGGTGACAGGGAACGTGCTTATTAGGTGCTTTTCCCTGGCCTTGAAAACTCATCCATTATTGCACAGTGAGCTGCTAGCTTGTATCTATTCCTTTCCTCTTCTGTATACTGTTTGTCCCTTTTTAACTTCATTCAAATATAATTTACATACCATAATTTTCATCCATTTTAAATGTACAATTCAATGATTTTTAATTAATTTATAGAGCTGTGCAACCACCATCATAATCCAGTTTTTAATCACCCTAATAAAACCCCTCATACCCTTACAGGGAGTCTCCACTCCCACCCCTAGCCCTAATCTACTTTCCACCCCTATAGATCGGCCTCTTCTAGACATTTCATCTCAGTGGTATTTTGTATCTGGCTTCTTTCCCTAGCAAAACGTTTTTGAATTCATCCATATTATAGGTGTATTTCACTCCTTTTTATTGCTGAGTAGTATTCCATTATGTGACTTTACTACCTTTGGTTTATCCATTCATCAGTCGACATTTGGGTTGATTCAACTCTTAGCTATTATGAATAATGCTACTAAAAACTTATATGCTACTTGCATATAAGTCTTTGCATAGGTCTATGTTTCCATTTCTCTTGAGTAGATACCTATAAGTGGAATTGTTGGGTCAGAAGATAAATTTAGGTGAAACTTTTTAAAAAACTACCAAACTGTTTTCAAAGTGGCCATATGATTTTAAATTCCCACCAGCGGTGTACAAGGGTTCCTACCTCTCCATATCCTCGGCGACATTTCTAATTGTCTTTTTTATTTATAGCCATTCTGGTTGATGTGAAATAGTATCTCACTGTGTTTTTTATTTGAATTCCCCCAATGACTAATGATATTGAGCATTTTTTCATGTGCTTTTGGTAAAATGTCTATACAAATCTTTAGACCACTTTTTAGTTGGGCTGTTTTCTTCTTATTAGGAAGTTGTAGAAGTTCTCTGTATGTTCTGAATTTAATCCTTCATCAGAAACATGATAGGCAAATATTTTCTCCCAGACTCTTTTCCGTGTCCTCCTTAATGGCTGTCTGCTATCTCTTACTGCTGCTGTGGCTCACCCACTTCTAGACACTGCTTTTCCTCCAGTGTGGATAAGCCATACTGGATTTCCTGTTATCAAGTAAGGTATAAGTGAAGCCAAAAAGATGGAAAACCACATAACTTGCCCACAGAGCAACAGAAAATTAGAGATGTCTTTCATGTAAACTCCTTGAAATGTTTCCATGAGAACTTGGATTCAAGAAAATAAGGTTTGCTGAAATCCAAAGGTCATTATTATGAAGTTTAGAAAACTGCCTCAATCCCAGTAAACTTTTATGAGGGGGAAAGGAAAAAGTAGGGTTTTACCTCCTTGCCTTACTTTAAAAACACAGCAACACCGACACTCAAAAAGGCGGGAGTCTAAGAGCCCTAATCATTGTCTATGATCCATTAACCAATGGATACCTTTTGACCACCCACTATATACCACCTACCCTAGTGATTCAAGGTAAGAGGCATGGACAGGGCTTCTAAACTCTCAAAAGAGATGACTGGTGGAGGGGAGGAAATCACTGAAAATTCGGACACCACTTTTTTTTTTTTTTTGCGGTATGCGGGCCTCTCACTTTGTGGCCTCTCCCATTGCGGAGCACAGGCTCCGGACGCGCAGGCTCAGCGGCCATGGCTCACGGGCCCAGCCGCTCCGCGGCATGTGGGATCTTCCCGGACCGGGGCACGAACCCGCGTCCCCTGCACCGGCAGGCGGACTCTCAACCACCGCGTCACCAGGGAAGCCCGGACACCACTTTTTCCATCTACTACCAAATCCAGGCCCTGAACTTCACGTGTTACTAGGGAGCAGAAGAGAAGGACAAAGTAACAGAGAAAGAAACATGTGCCTCTCCACTTGCGGCCCAATTCTTAAATATACTTTTGCCTCCGAAGTGCTCTCTCCCTGCTGACTCAGCAGATGCAACCAGAAGATTGCCTTGTACTTGGAGGGGACGAGCTTACTTGGGGGCTCTCTGCAGCTGTGTGGCATAGAAGCAATATCAGCGAGGGGACACGAAGGCCTCACATGGTTTCGTTTCATGAGAAACAGTGCGACTTCCCTACAGAGAACTGTTCCCGAAACACATCTGGCTTCAGCAGCACACTTATGAAAACAGTTCCCAGGATTTCTTCTCTCTTGGATCGACACCTGAGGAAAGTCAGAAAACAGGGACTAGACACAGAGAAGGCTGCTCAAGGAGAACTGGGGGGGACTGTCCTAGAGCATTCAAAGCAACGTCACGCGCACATATGGTCTCAGGTAATCCTGAGAAAAAGGTTGTGAGGAATCTGAAGCTCAGAAAAGTTAGGGTACTTAGCCAAAAATCACACGCCAGTCACTCAAAGCTAATTTCATGATTCACTCCTAGCCCAACTCTGAGGTTGGATGGAATCCAGTTAGCACAGAGAAATACAGGGACTTACGAGACAAACGTTCAAATGGTAATAAATTCTTAATGGGAACCTATGTTTGAGGAAAACGTAGAAGCCCACATAAATCTGAGTCCTGATAGGGATTTTTTTTAGGGCCTTCGGTCCGAAATCCCAAAAAGGTCGGGTGACGATGAAGGTCACACAGCTGGTTAGTGTAAAGCCAAAACTAGAACCCTAGAGATTACAGGAATGATTGGATGCTGAATATATTTGAGCTTATAAAACACTCTTTACATATATCAGTGCTAGATCTCTTAATTTATATACAGTTGGAGATTGTTAAAACGTCTCATCATACACGTATGTAAGTACATGTGCTGAGGTTAGGGGCGGGGGCGTGTAGAGTGAGGCAGAAGCAGGGTGGCAAGGCATAGGCTAATATGTCCTGAGCACATTCTTTGACCTAGGTTCTGACAGGCGCCTTATGGACTATGTCACATAATCCTTATCACAATCCTGTTGTATGGTTGCTATTATTCTCATTTCAGAGATGAGGACACTCAGTCACAGAGATGTTAAGTAGCTTTCCCAGGGCCGCACAGTGGCATTCAGATGGAGAGAGAGCGTACACAGAAACGGTCCATGCTTCCTGGCACACTGAAAGAGCACAGAAAAACAGACAATTCTTATGTGGCACAGTCGTTCCTATCCAAAGAATAAGCCTTTTCCGAATCGTGGGGATACCTTTTTTTTTTTTTCTCTTTTTTTAAAAGTAAAGATCGAAATACTGTGTGTTCAAATTCCTGCCTAACTGTTTCTCTCCCCCCCACCCCGGCCCCCAGAAATCAAACCAGGAATAACCTATGCTGAGCCCTTGCGTCAATCGTCCCCGAGTGTTTCCTGACACGTATTTTTGCTTACAGTCCCTCAGAACTAAAGAATGGGGCTCAACGTGACATTTGCAAAATTACCAGGTAAGCGGTAGGGAAAAATGCAAAGAAAATCTTACTTGATCAATAACTGTTATTTACACTACGTGGCCATTTAGGGGTTTTAGCGGTCACCAACCAACTAACAAAATAAACCAGCATTTATCCTTGCCTTTCATTAAATGTAAAACAGCAAACATGCAGGGTGGCATCACTGAGAGAAATTTAACTTGCCGTCACTTTGGTTTTAAGCTTTGTTTCATCTAGAGACCATCTCTAAAAGAACAAGAAAGATTAAACTAATAATTGGGGAAGTTTTTCATACCCAAACTAAAGTACATATTACTTTTCAGATGTAACAGTCTAGATCAAGGTTCACTGAGATTCCCCAAGAGGTCAAGACGACATCTACCTACACTACTGGGTAGCTAGAAAATGGTCATGCAAGGGCAGCTGTGCCAGGGGAGTGACACCCTGCAATTTGCGTGACTTTGGTATTTCATTCCCACCTGGCAGGTAGAGCAGTGATATATCGTTGATACTTTCACACTTTGTGCCTAAGTGTGACGTGCCCCAACGAGCAACAATGCAGCTTCACCAAAAGCAAAAGGACCAAGATTCTTCAACACATATCGTTCAGACTGTGACTGCTATTAATGACACAAAAGTCAGAGAGTGAACATCTACTGAGTACTAGACACTGTGCTTGAAACGTATGCAGAGCATTTAACTCTCAGAAGATCCAGCAAAATGGCCGCTATTTAATCCATCTTACAAAGTCATGAAGTGACTGAACCAGCATTGTCAAAGAGGCCTGTCTGCAATGCCCTCTATCTGCCGTGTCCAATACAGGAGCCACATGTGGCTAATGCAGTATCTGGCTACAAAGCCCACGCGTTTCTCCAGCACACACAGGTGTACACACGATCCCCCTTACACACAAACACAGGCAGCCACAGCCGCAACACACATCCCACAAAACCACTCTCACAAACCCACTGGCACAAAACGATGATTTACTGTGGAACCAGTGTTCGTATGTCATTGCCTCTGCCAATTCAGTTTAAAAGGAGTTGGAAGAGGGGGCGCAGAGGGGAGAATAAGAAAGGGATTTTTACCCTCAATTATCACCCTGTAATCAAGCTCTGCACTAAACAAACAGGGAATAACATCTTGGGAGATAAGGAGTGTGTGAGCTGAGAGAAAACAGCCTGTAGACTGTAAAAACAGCTTCTAGTTTTTCTTAATTGAATCACCAAACTACTTGTCATTAAAAATGTTCCCTAACCTGGCCAAGCTCTTTACTGACAGCAAAGAACAACATGGTAAAACCTCCTGGGGAAAGAAAGCCACTCACTTTTAACGGTCTTTGTTCCTGAGTGGGAAAATTGCAGAGAAATGCTTCTGGGCATAGCCACAGGCTTTGGAAAAACTGGGGCAATGATACAGAAGAGAAGAAAGGCTGGCAGGAAAGAATATACCACAGACTTAATTCTAAAAAAAAAAAAAAAAAAAATCTATGTCACACAGAACTCTCTATATTAAGTTCTGAACCTTCCAGAGCAACCCACAGATGGTTATTCCTGCTTCGCAGGAACCATTTTTCTCTCCTACTACCATATTTATTGCATAGGATAACCCGTAACAGGCTTTAACCACTAATTTGTTTAAGCTGCCTCGTAAATGTAGAATTTGTAAATGAAGTAATAAACAAGCCCAAGCCTATTCCATTGAATTAAGAAGTCCTATATTCTAAAACGTTAATCCCATACATAAACTAAAGAAGTAAAACTGTGAGGTGACATGCTCAGCAGACTGTCTCAAAGCCATGAACGGTTCAATAATCACCGTGGAACAAGGTTACTCATACCTGATATTATTTATGACTCAGAGTATCTTTAAGGACTATTTCTGACATGCTGATTTAAGACTGTGTTTGATAATAAACATAACTGATCAGTAAATCGTCATTTAGTAAGAGTGCTTGTTCATACAATTAAAACTTTAAAGTATATAATAAACAGATACAAAATCCCTACCCAACCCTGAGAAGTATGGGTCCTTCCGTTCCACAACGGAAAAGCACAGCAGATCCAGGGAGCCGACGCTAAGGGTGGAAATACTCCATGCCTATTATGCTATGGTTCGTGAACCATTCTACTTGCATTTACAACGGTTTTGAAAATCATTCGTTAGTAATTGTTACAAGGTATAACCAGTGTTTCAGGAGATGATGTAGCTGCCCCTTTTCAGGCTGGGTCCCTCAGCTAGGCCACTTATCCTGTTTAAAAGTTACCTGTCCTCTCTCTACTTCCCTTAGGGTTCTATTCTGGGTTAGATGAAAGTAACTGCTAATAGTTTAATTGGGGAAATTAAGTCAAGCAGGTATCTTAACCCAGGTAAAGCTGCACATCTTAAGAAGCTTCTAAGGGCATGGATGCTGATGTAGATCTGATGGAGCAGAAGAGGCCAAGACTGAGACACTTCATTAAGTTAAAGACAGGCTTGAACGATCCTGTTCCAAGACAACATTTGAAACTGGCAACAGGAGTACAGATGGCAGCTGAATCAGGCATTTTAAACTTGTAAAGCTGAATAATACTGTGGGTCTCATCCTAACAGGCTAGTCCAGGTATAAATTACCAGCCTGCGTAAGGACGTTTAATCCAGGAATACCAGTTTTTAAAAACACTTGTAGCAGAGAATAAAAGGGAAAGAATCAGCAGGGGGACAAGGTTACTCGGGAAGAGCCTACACTTAAATTTCAGGCAACAATTTAAGAACCTGTTTTTGGATTGTAATCATCAAAGCTATCTTCCTAGGTTCGCTTCTTCAAAGAAGGGAAACAAAATATATACTTCGCCGCCTGTCACGTAGGGAAATGAGGGCTAAATTCATGCTGTCAGCTCTAAAACAAAATCATTCCAAAACATAACTGTAGCTATAGTAAACATTATTAGTGAGATGTGAAAATTCAGAAATGACCTTCCTTGTCAACTTACATCCAAACAGTTCATTTGTAAATTGTTAGCTCCAGTTTAAAAAAAAAAAAAAAGACAAAATGTAACTGGATGGTCAAGAGATTTATGGGGGCGATTGCCCAGAGGGACTGCTGACAGCTGTGCAGGTCTGACCTCTGTGGAAGAGAGAGGGGAGCAAGGAGGCAGAGGAGGAAGATTCAGACTTCAGTGTAGTTTGAAGAAAGTTTTTTTTTTTTTTTTTTGCGGTACGCGGGCCTCTCACGGTTGCAGCCTCTCCCGTGGCGGAGCACAGGCTCCGGACGCGCAAGCTCAGCGGCCATGGCTCACGGGCCCAGCCGCTCCGCGGCATGTGGGATCTTCCCGGACTGGGGCACGAACCCGTGTCCCCTGCATCGGCAGGCGGACTCTCAACCACTGCGCCACCAGGGAAGCCCTGAAGAAAGTTTTGACCAGACTGATGAAAAGTCCTCCAGCCAAAGTCACTCGTCAGAGAAACCCCTGCTGTCCCAGGAACAGGCTTGTCTTAGTATCATGTGCTCAGTTACTGGCTGGGAGCAGTCCATGCAAAGCATGGCATCAGCAAGAAAACAGTGCTGGGTTCAGAACACTGAGCTGGAGTTGCCCATCAATTACACTCCCTGCAGTAGGAGATCTGAGAGGCCCGTTCTCATGGCTGTCAGGCAAATCCAATGTTCATAAACCATTTCATTGATTATATGATACAGTGGTATGGTACAGGCCTTTAACAACACGCACTCAAAATTCCAAAATAGCAAAAGGTTTAAAATTTCCATATTCTCAGCACAATACATATAATCTAGACTTGTAAATTAAAATAGGTACCAGACTGCAATTATTTTCAATAACTGTCCTCCTTGAGAATGAATTTAAATATTAATGACAATTGTTCCTTTTTATTTCTCTTCCTAACGATGGTCCCTAAAGTTTCTTAAGTATTATAAAAAAAAAAAAAAAAGTCACGGACAAAAAATTCAAAATGACCTGCTAGTTTTACTCTTTCCCAATTCTTGATGATTAAATAGCTTAAAACTAAGAGAGAGAAAAAGATATTTCAAAGAGCCTGCCAAAGACTGCACTAAAAGAATAACCACATGCTACCATTTTGTTACATAAAATTCTAATTTTCTGCTCCCAAATTTTGTTGATTCTATTTGTAAGGATATCAAACACTGAATTAAAAATCTAATCAAGATAATTTTCACTGGTATATTTATTTTCATTTTCAAACAGTCAGCATAGAGAGCCAGAAATTCACATTTTACTCATGGGACTTGGGGGTGGGGGATTTAGGGGTGAGGTCACCAGTTCTTTTTTTTTTTTAATGTTTTTTCGTCTGTTTATTAAAGTATAGTTGATTTACAATGTTGTGTTAGTTTCTGGTGTATAGCAAAGTGATTCAGTTCTATATATACACACACACAAACACACACACACACACACACACACACACACATTCTTTTTCATGTTCTTTTCAAGTATGGTTTATTACAGGAAATTGAGTACAGTTCCCTGCACCATACAGTAGGACCTCGTTGTGTGAGGCCACCAATTCTTTAGGCACTCAAAGTATTCACAGTGCAATAAACTGGAGTCTTTAAATTACTAAAGACATCTTTTAACTAGCCCGAAACGGCAATAGTTCAGCCTGTGAGGAAGCCCAGCACTCTGTAGGGCATGCATCAAAGCACTGAAGTGACGTCTCCCCGCTTCTCCTACAGATAATGAGCTGCACGGTCCAGGGAATCACACCCCAAGTAACACAAGCGATGGACCCGGAAAGAACACCACCATTAACAACGAATTCGACACTGTCGTCTTGCCTGGGCTTTACCTCGTCATCTTTGTGGCAAGCATCTTGCTGAATGGTCTAGCAGTGTGGATCTTCTTCCACATTAGGAATAAAACCAGCTTCATATTTTATCTCAAGAACATAGTGGTTGCTGACCTCATAATGACGCTGACGTTTCCATTTCGAATAGTCCACGATGCAGGATTTGGACCTTGGGACTTCAAGTTTATCCTCTGCCGATACACTTCGGTTTTATTTTACGCCAACATGTATACTTCCATCGTGTTTCTCGGGCTGATAAGCATTGATCGCTACCTGAAGGTGGTAAAGCCATTTGGCGACTCTCGCATGTACAGCATAACCTTTACAAAGATTTTGTCTATTGGTGTCTGGGTGCTCATGGCTATCCTGTCCTTGCCAAACATCATTCTAACAAATGGTCAACCAACGAGGGAAAATATTCATGAGTGCATGAAACTTAAGAGTCCTTTGGGAGTGAAATGGCACAAGGCCATCATTTACATCAACAGCTGCTTGTTCGTGGTTGTGCTGGCGATGCTGATAGGATGTTACATAGCCATATCCAGGTACATCCACAAATCCAGCCGGCAGTTCGTGAGCCAGTCCAGCCGAAAGCGAAGACACAACCAGAGCATTAGAGTGGTCGTGGCCGTGTTTTTCACCTGTTTCCTACCCTATCACTTGTGCAGGATTCCTTTCACTTTTAGTCACCTGGACAGACTCTTAGATGAATCGGCACACGAAATCCTATACTACTGCAAAGAAATGACGCTTTTCTTGTCTGCGTGCAACGTGTGCCTGGATCCGATAATTTACTTTTTTATGTGTCGCTCATTCTCAAGAAGGCTGTTCAAGAAATCAAATATGAGAACGAGGAGTGAGAGCATCCGATCACTGCAAAGTGTCAGAAGATCAGAGGTCCGCATATACTATGATTATACTGATGTGTAGGAGTTAAAGGCCACCAGGGCTTCTCTTGTTTGTCGAAGTCGATGTGTACAAACTGTAAATAAATTTGTCTTTTGATTACCCTCGCTTGAGCCCATCGAAATATGGATGAAAAGAGAACTGAGATGATATGAAATTGGGGTATAACTTGGAACTGAGAAAAACATTAAGGCATACCAAAAAAGTGAAATTAACAAGAGGTGGTGTGTCGCTGAGTGGCAGGGATCATGGCTCAAGGTTGAAGGAGCAGATTACAGGTGCAGAAAAGGCCACAGCAATGCCAGCGCACTGCAGGAAATGCTTCCAGGAAATGCTGGTGCTCTGAAGCCACTTCTGAAAGAAGAGGAAGTAGAGGGAACTCTATCTAACCTGGATCCCTAAGATTTGGGAAAGAAAATGCTGTTTTCAACACAGCTCATTCACTGCAGATGTAACTGAGTAAATATGGATTGCTAGGTCTTTCTGTCATTGTATCTATGGCCCATACACAACCTTTAGCCATTATCCCCTGTCTGTGTTTATTTATGTCTTATGCATATGAGAAAAACTTGCACAGTGCGGGGTGGGGTGTAGGCAAGAAAGTTCAACTGTGTTTTTTTTAAGCAACGCGTTTGAAAGACTTAAGTCAATTAACTGATTTTAAGCTTAGATTATTTCAGAGAAAAAAAAAAGTGTGACCAAAAAATAAAAAAAAACGAGTATTAAGACAAGTAGATTTTGGATAAAACACTCTGAACTTATGTTTGACATTATTATACCCTATGCTGCATTTGAATCCTCCTGTACTAAGGGTAGAGGAGAGAATGTGAAGGCTTGGTTAATAATCAAGTATATACAGTTTATTCAAAAGCCACTTAATAGTCCTTATTTTAGAAAAACTAGAGTTTTAAAATAGTCTTCCTTTTGAGCTATATCCCATCATTAATAGGGATATCATTAGTTTAAAAGTAACACCTTCAGTAGAAGAACAGAGCTCAATAAATCCAGTCAAAAACGACTGAGTAGCTTTTAAAATCTTAGAATAGTTTCTGCTTCGATATAAACCTTTGAGCCTTCATTCTTTTTCAAAGCCTTCAGCTGCTTGACCACTGACTAGATGCCTGATTTGTTCCTAACACTCAACAAGGAACCAGGGGAGCATTAAAAGACCAGGAGTGAAGGCACGTTTGCTGAGGAAAAGGGAACATTACCGGTTAATGGAGACAAAGCAGACATACACATGCAAAACAGTGCGATATTTTATTTAGACTCTTGTAAATGATCTGCCTGCTTAATTCTAAAAAGCTAAAGTGAGCAAAAAAGAAGTCAAATATCCCACTCAAAAGTGATACTACCCACTTCCGTGTGTGTGTGTGTGTGTGTGTGTGTGTGTGTGTGTATTCTGTTAAAGGCATGTTCACCTCAGAACATAAAAACTAATAACCTACCATCTTTAATAGCATCAATGGCTCCATTTGGTGCTCTGAAATTTACCAAACCCCAGACTTCATTTAATCCTCTAAAATTCAGGCCTCAGTCTAAGAGGTCCTTAAAATATTTCAATCCCACTTTCATGTTTCTAAAATTGGATTGCTGTAGAGTTAGTGGGTACATTTTATGTAAGGGTGGATTTATTCTCTGAAATTACATGATTAAATCAATGGGACATCTTAAAACACTGACTCAGGAAAAAAATAGAAAGGATTATCCCTATTTTTTTAAAGCTATATTACCAAAACATCAGAATCATACTGCTTGTTTTTTACACCAATGCTCACATTGTGGTCACAAAAATTACTTATCCAGGCCAACCAAGAATGAATCATTTATATAACTAACATAATATCAACAGGAACGGCATAAAATATTGTGCTGGTGTCATGAGTTAATACAAACTACTGCATTAATACTGAAGAAAACAAGAATTCTATCTGACTGGTTTTTAATTAATTGATAATTTGGAAACAATCTTAAACTTGAACTCTAAAATTTCTTACATGGAGCCTTTGGATTATATTCAATATTTCAGGACCTTCTTAAGGCAGCAATAAATAACAAAGTTATTCTTTATTTTATGCAAATGAGAAACACATTCAGATACTTTCAAAAAGAAATTTTTCTATTACTTATAAAACTTACATGCAGAGAAACTAATAGAAAATCTTCAGTAGATTACTAACTCTGTTATATTCATTATGCCATTCATACCATTTCCTTCTCATTTCCAAACAGTATACCATAATTTTTTTCTCAACTAAAGCTTCAAGGGAATGGTAACAAGGAAAATCCATAAATTTAGGTAAAAAAGCCAAAATTGTGCATAGAGACAGTACAACCTAAACCACAAATTTTATGATCATTTTGGAGAAATGTGATATATATGCAAAAAATAAACAAAAAAACAACAAGGGCAAAATAAAGCTTGGGGGGGGGGGTCACTTAAATCTCATAAATAGAGAGTTTTCTCCCAGACAGAACACCGCAAGAAGACAGCTATCGAATCAATAAATACTTACTAGGCACATACCATGTAAAAAAAAAAAATGTCTAACGTTATATTTACAATAATCTTTGGCTATATCTAAGTAAATTATAAAAGTAAATATTTCTTAAGATCAAACATTTTCAAATTTCAACATAAACATCTGGTAGATGCTGACTTAGCTCCCGTCCCCAGCCCTCTAGCACCATCTAGTGGTAAAATTCATGAAACAACTGAAGAAAACGACTCCTGTCCTATTTACTGCTTGCGACTGACTACACAATAACATGGCCTAACCCTTCCCCCCTCCCCCGAGCATTCCTTCAGTCATCTCTGATGCTAATGTACACCAAAAACAGTCCTGGAGCTGCCCAGACAAATGTATGCTGGAAATGTTTAAAAAAATAATTAATACCTATAAGAAATTATCTTACAGATGTTAAAAAAAACTAAAAAGGCTGCAACATACATGGATTTCACAGGGAAAATGGAACAAATACTGGCTGCTCTTTCTTGACATACAAAAAAATTTTAATTAAATATAAAATGATTTTTTAGAGTTTATTTATTAGAGTTGAAGGAGGAGGAATAAGATTGTCAGTGTTAAAATTTTTAACGTATCAAGAAATGCATGGGATTCAAATGGCAACTTTTATTGTGAATATTCTAAAGTTTTTCTTATAAGCTACAATAACAAGAAATCATCTAAAATGATTTTTATAATGGTGTAATGTGTCTATCAGACCACCTCTCTTTTCTTCTCCTCATTTGAAAACGCAAGATATGGAACTAAACTGGAAATTCCTTTCTTTCAAACAGCTTCATTGGCAAGAGTTCTTGATAAAGTGGCCAATTTCTCTTTGAATAATGCCAGAGAATATCCACCGGTTGCAGCAGTTCTCAGAAATGAGCCACACATCTGATTAAATCAGTCTAGCTTATGAACAAGAAGCTAGAATTAGTCACCAGACCGCCCAAAGCTTCCAAGTCTAAGTTTAGGTTTAAATGTTATAAACAAGACTTTCCAACAACACTCTAGGCATGTTAACCTGGACACACATATAAACACACAGCATGTATAACGAGGGCTAATAGATTTAGTATAACAAACATGACTCAGCTCCTTAACCTGTGATGGTTTTCAAATAGCCCTTAGAAACAGACCTTAAACATCCCATCCCATGCTTGTTACTACTAGCCCAAACCAAAATACTTTCAGTAACAGTGAAGCCATCTGTCAAGTATCAAAAATAAATATCTCTGTGTTTCCTCAAAAAGCCTGAACCATATCACCAGTGTCTTTAGATTTTTATGTGCTGTTTCATGCAGCTAGAGAAATGCCACCATTAAACACAATGGGAAAATGAATAAATATATAAGGACATGAATACTGGGCAGAACACTTACATGATATAAATTTGGAATCATCTAGATCAGGGCTTCTCAACCCCATCAAACCCAGTGCACTCTTTCTGTGGGATGTATGTCAACCTATTTTTAGTACAGTGATATGAAAGCCAGACATAATGTAACCTATCTACACACACAGACCTCACTTTGCACGGTAGTGTGGGACCATAAAAATATGGACTGCATCGCTTTCTCTACCTCATCCAAAGAGGCTCCTTAACCCTGGAACTTCATTAACAGCATCACCATCCACCCAGACACCTGAACTGGAAATTCTGAGTCATCCTATGACCCCTCTTGCCCTCACCCCTATTAGCAGCCCTGCACCAAATCTTGCAGATTTGCCCTCAGATGCAGTGGGCAAGCTAGGCCTCCACCCGGCCTGGCCCTGCATCGGGCTTGCCTCGGGCCAGGGGAGGCTGTGTCATCTCATGGACCAGCAAGGACCTGGGAGCACAGCAAACCTGGCTCCCACCTCCCACCGTACGCCCAGCTGAGAGGAGAAAACAAACCAACTGCACCACGATTCTAAACTGCCAGCACTGCTGCTAGAGGCCTCAGGTTCTCCCTTCCGTCCCAGGCCCTCACATACTCTTCTTGCCTAGTACTTTTAACACTCAATGGTTATTTTCTAATGAAATAAAAATAGCTAATTTTATTGGGCACTCCCTACACAGCAGGCATCGTTCTCAGCACCTGACCTGCATCAACTACCTTCATGCCCTTGATAAACCCCTGAGGAAGCACCAGTATTACCCTAACGTTCTCAAGGTCACACAGGTCAGAAAAGCTGTTGCTGGGATCCAGACTCAGGCCACCTGGCTCCAGAATTTCTGGCTTTAACCACGGCTCAATACTGAAATGAAACGCACGCCTCAAGGTATTAATGACACGACCAAAAGCCTTGCCAATTATTTATGTTACCGAATGCTAGGAGCACAAACTATTTCACCACTGCAGATAAGGCTGGGGTTGAAGTTGAGAAGCACCCTTAAGCAAAGCCTCAATAATTTCTTTACTAAATATGAAAGATTATACTCACTATTAAGAGAACATTAAGTTAAGCCTATCAATCACACATATTTGATCATTTTATTCCCTTATAATTCAGATGAGCATATAGTTCAGGATCAAAACCTAGATAACTTTTGAGAGTGCAAGTGTCACGTACTGAGCTGGCACGGGTGTAAACTGAGACAGTGCGGGCAAACCCGTGGGCATAGCGCATCTGAAAATTCGCGTCTACGTTAGGATTGCGTTACCCAGTTAAACAAGCAGCTTAGGACAAGGAAAAAGGGCTCAGGGAATCCAGCCATTTCATCAGCGAGAGGCCCCACAGTGAAGCTTCTTCCATCCAGTTTACTAACACAAACTGGGAAGCCCTGGATGCTGGAGGAGCAGGTATTCAACAAAAATCTCTAACGGAGGTTTCCTGGGTGGGTGGATAACGGTTTCTAGGTTAGTGGTCGCTGCTAGCGGCTTTGTTCAACGCCACAGTTAAGAACCCAGCTCGCCCAAGTTGAGTATTTTTATTTGCCTTGGCTTCCTGAAGGAACACATAAGCTAAATTCTAGTTTAAATTCTCTCTCTCCTCTACAGCAAAACCATCACAAATCTTTTGTCCCACTATTAA